TCTGATTATAATGACACTAAAAACGTACATGGTATGCTTATTGGGGTTATATTGAGGCTACAATATAAGGATTTATTAAATGCGTAATAATTTGAATATTCGATTTGCATGAAAATAAATGCATTTTACAAGTACCGAATTCTATCATAAATTTTCCTTTGAGAGATAGCTCAAACATCTTCCATTAATACTTTCAATTAAATACCACAAATAAACTTTTTTGTATTGCATTATTATAATGACACTAAAAACGTAATGGTATGCTTATTGGGGTTATATTGAGGCTACAACGTACTGATTTATTAAATGCGTAATAATTTACATTCGATTTGCATGAAAATAAATGCATTTTACAAGCTACCCCTTTCTATCATAAATTTTCCTTTGAGAGACTGACCAGAGAACTTTTTTGTTTACAATGGTGCGTTCTATATGGAACACTCGTATTCGGAATGTGTTGGGTATAGTCATATAATACTCTTTCGTAAAACAAACTTCAGACTGAAGTATTTCTAATAAAGTCGTTAAGCCATTATTTAGATGTTGATGGATTGAACTTTCGATGAATGATTTTCTAATATGAGTTTTACTTATAATGCATCATTGGTTTTGGGGTTATAAAATTCATTTGATGGAAAAGAAGATTCGATCAAGTACTCTCCATACAAATTTTGTGGCGAATAGTCATTGTTTTTTGTATAAGATATCATTAATTTATGAACCTTTCTACTTGTTTGTTGAAGATCCTATCATACATTTTAACAATCGCAACTTCATGGACCTTTCTGACTAGCTGAAAAACAAGTTCGAGTGTAACAAAGACGCTATGACAGCCCCCCCCCCCCTTTTTTCAAGATGTTTGAAATAAATGCATGGGGACCGTTTATGTGTAAACTATGTTAATTAACTTTACTCAATTTAATATTATATCACCTAAAATATAGAACAGAAGGGTCTATCCTTTATTTGTATATACAGGAAATGTATAAAATTTTAACATTCGGTGATTTTTATAAATTCGAGGTTGTTTTTCCGACCTCTGACGGAGAGACCCGAGAGGATGTGATTGACATTTTGAACGATAGGAGTTGCATCAGGTTATAATTCTACCTGTATATCTTAAAAATTAAAGTTTAAGGTTTTTTCAGGTATAAATCTTTTTGTATTTTCATGGATTATTGTATATGCAATGTCCAATAAGCATATCTTTGAAAATAAACCTCTCAGTTGGTATGAAATATATTCTGAAGAATATGTAAACAAAATTCCCAAAATTTTAAAGGTCTATTTATAAAATAAGCTTTTTATAGCAAATCACAGTAAACAGTTTCATTTAAATCAATTTTTTCATGTTTTATATTCATGGAAATTAACTGGTTAAACTTGTAAATAGTATTCTTCTACAGAGATTGTGATTTAGTATTCATCTGATATATTAAAGCAATCGTTTGATAATTGCATAAATATATGTTATGGTCTTTCATCTAAAGTAAAGTACAAAACTATACTTTTTCTATGAAATAAATCAGTTATCAACTGCCTCTGAGATATTTTTATCAACAAAACTATATCATCAAACGCCGAGCAACATCTTTGGAAGAGAGGCAATCTGATTTTGTTAAATAATCAACTTTTAAACATAACTATTTCGTCAAACTTTATATCCTATAATCAATATTTGCACTGTATGTTCAACTTTTCGATTTCATGAACCGTTCACGGTAGCCTTCGCTTCGTGATCGTGAAGCCTGGGTTCGATTCTCGTTCGCGGCGCCGCGTCAAACCTAAGACGTAAAAATAGGCAGCGACTGTTCCTTCGCCAAGCATTCTGCATCAGAAGTGAAAGTCATGGGTCTTTCGGATATGATCTTAAAAACGTAGCTCCCGTGTCACGGTAGGCGGTGGCACGATAAAGAACCCTCACTGTTCAGTGACCCTGAGTGCCGAGTATAGATCTAAATTTGAAGCCCTTCACCGGCATCGGTGACGTCTCCATATGAGTGAAAAATTCTCCAGAGGGACGTTAAACAGTATACTATCAATCAATCAATCGATTTCATGATAAGTCGTTTGAAAACTGAACCTACGATTCCTGAATAAGGACGAATTTGAACAATTTCGTGATCTTTTGTGGTCTTTTCTGACTTTTCCTACGGTTTGCGTTATATTAATAGACTTATGAAATGAGACTAATCAGAAATTGTAGTCGTATTGATCGGCAACCATTCCATTAATCTCAACCAGAACATTAAACAGAAAGTATACTTCGACAGATTTGGAAACATATATTTAACATATAAGTTGCTATACAGCCAAAATAATTTTAAAAGAGGATTACGCATTACTTTCTCTATAAACTACAGAATCAAAAGATTTCTATCCAAGAGAAAGTAAATAGCACGTATAGACTGCAACCTTCGGTTCAAGCGATTACAAGTTTATTTGTGAAGTCGTGAATGTTGAAGGACAATATTTCTCTTCAATGTGGAAAATTAGTTACATGTACGTACAAATCAAAGTATGAATGAAGGACGAAGGAAATAAAATTCCGAATTAAACAACAACAACAACAACAAAAACACTGATATAGCTAATACTATTTTAAAATTTAAACAAACAGATATCGAAATCTCGCGTCAGACGTATACAAATTAGACTTAATTTATCTTCCCTACCACAGGATAACAAAGTACAAGAAGTAGAGGCTCCCAGTAATGTAGTAATAAGAAAGAAGATAATTTACTGGAGTGCATCACATGTGAAAAATTATGATATTGTATGAAATTGTTGTATCTTTTAATTTAAATACACTTGTACAGATGCACCCATTGACTTTGTAACTTTTTTTTATACCTACAGTGACATAGGGCTTTGGCTTATATGGTATCACCCGAAGGACAGGTCGCGAAGTCCCATATGTACCTTTTTGTAATTATACTTTAAGTTTAATTTTTCAAACTATTAATCTTTAATTGATTAGAATAAGATTTCATTATCTTAAACTGGGATGCTTCCTTTCTTTCAAAGAGCTAGAAAGGCTTAATTGCATTTTAGATTATATTTTCAAAAATGCAAAAGCAAAAAAAAAAAAAAATAGTCAAAAATGAATGTTTTGTACATGAGGGGATTTTGCTAATTTTTTCATCATTCATAGACTGCGTTTTATCAGGTCGTTCTTTCCAAGCATATTTGATTTGTTTCTAGGTTGATATTTTTTTTTAATAAATAAACTTAGATAATTCCTTTTAGTGTCAAAGATTAATTGGTGCAGAAAGATAAATTATCTTATGCTTTGTGCTTGAAACATTCAAAATAAAGAGAAGGATATAAAGTATATCTTAATAAAATACCATTTCTTATGATTACTTCTTGTTCATCAGGAGATCGTATGCTGCTCTTTACAATCTCAGATTATGCTGAATATTGTTTTGAACAGTCAAATGGTTCTTGAGAAGACGTTTTTAACAAACGCTGGATGCTTCTTATGTTTGATTTAATGTCGTAAGTTTTCATATCTACCGTATTTCCGTACATATGAAAGTATTTGAGTCAAGGACACTCTTCGACATTTTTTAATTTTTCAGAGGGATATTGAGTTATTGCCAACAAAGGAAAATGCACTAAGAAAGCTTTAAACACTAAAAAAAAACTGTTTTGGACTTAGAAAAAATATATTATATAATGACATGCATATTGATACTATTCCATTCATTTAGAACATAGGGTACGTGTCTTCTTTGCGTGAGAAAAGTTTCAAAGACGATGGATCATTTGTGAGCAGAAATTACTGTTGTTTACTCAGATCGGGAAAATAATGAAAATAATTAATTAAATTTCTTACTCTTGATCTTATACGTATAATGCTAGAAATATTTTAATCTATTACAAATCATGTAATTAACTGTAAATAACAATTTCTTTAATCTTACATCTAAGGGCAGATTACTTTAAGTGCATAAAACTACCCTATAAATAGAGCTCTTTAGTTTGCAGTGTTTAGAGCGTTCTTAAGCCTAAAAATAGAATGATGGTACATGACAGTAAAGAAGTGGACGTAGGGATGTTACTGTTGAAATCTGTAACTGATAGACAATAGAATTAAAATTTATATTTTGTAGAAGCTGAGATATAAGAAAAGAGATATATACTAGTACAGTGTACATGCAAATAGAAAATATCTTATCGGGAATTTATTTCATGGATATTTTAGTTTCAGCTTAGATTTTGTTTTCCAAGACATATCCAAAAAAAATCTTGTATCGTCCACCTGGTGAAGAGGTTAGAGCGTCTGGTTTATGGTCGCGGGTTCGATTCCTACAGTGGGACCTGGAGATGTGTCCTTAACCAATTATTGCTTAAGTTTTGCAAGAAAGAGAACTTTAATGGTAATTTCTGTCAATATGGTGTTCCCTGGCGTTGGTGACGACTTTTATGCTGACATAAGCATTGCAAAAAGATGTACTCCTTTGCTTACTTTCGCTTTCACCAGGAATTTTTGCGTCACTTCCCCTGCTTGATTTATGATTCAACATATACCAATTAAGTTAAGATGAAATAAGATTAGATGAAATACTGTAAGATAAGATGAAATAACGATACAGTGTTATTTTCATCGCGTCTTATTTTCATCCATTATTGTAACATTTTTTCCCGCTTTGAATTTGCCCAGACACAATTCTGTATAAGAGGTAATGGACTTTTTTTTCTTTAAATACGCCACTTTTTAATATCGTCCAATTGCAACGAAGGGGCGAAAATTTAATTAGCGAAAATTTTCCTGTATACAGTATTCGTGGAATCCAGCGCAGATACTACAAATTGGTGGTTGGGAATTCCCAATCATTGTTCGAGATATAACGTTTGAAAAACCGACGTTTATTAACAATTACAAAATTACACAACATAAAGAGGATTTGTATTATGGTTTTTCCATAAGTAGAAAATAAAATAAAACATTCCATTGCTCTGCAGGAGAATACATGTATTTATTGCTACTTTTAAGATATTATTATTTATATGAAATCAAGCTGCTTGTAGGTCAATTCAAAGGGATGTCCTGACGTACTTTTTTGATCCAAGTTCTTCAAAATTATCAAAACACCTGAAACACCTGGAAAAAAAAACAGGAAATATTCTTATCAAAATCCTTTTAAATTAAAACTGAATAAATATATTTTCCGACTCAAATATATGATAGTATATAGTACATTTTCGTGACATTTGAAGCCTCGGGAATTTAAATAAAGAATGTGTTGAACAATTTAAAAGGACAAGAACACAATGACATTGCTTGTTTCTTTACAACTTCTATTTGCAATATTGTTGTAGTTAAAACGCTTTTTGTAGATAGGAGAACATTATCATAGACTTACTTCTCTAATGGTGTTTAAATCTCTTCCTAGGATGAAAAAAGTTTGCAATGTTCTTTGACAGGCTCCGTTTAACTGTCAATCTATGCTGCATCAAAAATGAAATAAATATCTCTTAGAATTTTCTATATAATCTTTAAAAAGCTTAAGAAGCATGAAAAAGTCCTATTGGTCGTATCATTTAACTAAATATACATTTATACATGACGAATATCCAATTTTTGAATGCAAAATATTTTTTCCTGAAATAATAACATGTTTAATCAAAAATGAAATTGTCCGAAATTCTTATTGCAATCTCCCTTGAGACAGACACATTCAGAAATGTTAGATTTTATAAATTTGATAGTAGTAAGGGGACGAAAATTCACCTGGGATTCTCTCAATCCAGGAAAGTCCCCACAATAATTACAGTACTTCTCACAAATGGCTTCCAGGCCAACGTGACCATACTGACAGCAGTAGCGAATACATCTCCCACAGACACAAGATACACCAATAAGGAAACAGAGGAAAACTAACAGCCTCATCTGAAAAAGATAAAATTAAATAGATGTACATTTTATATAGAATTACATTGATAGATATTGACTATGTATATCAGGAACGTGCATAGACATTTATAAGACCTGAATAGCAGTGCAGAATGCCCATACCTTCGATCAGATAAAAAAGATCTTTTTGATGGGGTGTTGAAGACGACTGCGTAATCATAAGACTTTTTTGCAGAACATTATTTTTAAATCTGTTTATATATAAAAATCAATATTTCTCTGATATAGTTAGAAGCGCATTTTTGGTCATACATTTTTTAATAATTTCGTAATATGATCAAATTTTTAAAATTTATCAAATTAAGCATGCTGCGTGTGTAAATAAAATGTCGGAGGGTTATTGTTTTGATTATAATTTACAGCTGTGATTTCAAGGGCAGTTATCACAAAGAAGATCCAAGTGGCAAAATTAATTTTACTGTTTTCTAAAGTATAATACTGATTTCTACGCTATGAAAAATTGAAATTAAAATGTATCACAGCTATATAGAATGAGTAGAAGCGTTTCATAAAATTAAACATGAAAATTTGACCTTTATAATTATTTATTCCACATTTAAGTTATGGTTATAAAGCATTAAAATATTATATGTAAATACGCCATCATTTAAAAACTCATTTATCAGCATTTTTAAAAAGTATGTTTAAATTTCAAGAAAAAAAGAAAGAATTATGGAACTTTGGTATGATTAAATAGAATTGTGAAATATAACTTGTATGGAAAAACCTCCCATCTAAAACTAGAGTGCGTTATAAAAAAAATCATGTTCATTTTTTTCAAATGTACTTGAAAATGAATTTAAATTATATGATATTTTTTCCGTGAAACTTATTTGATTTACAAGTAATTTAATAATTGTCAATTTCGATAAATTTTAGAAAAAGTAAATAATTACGTTCGATACCAGTACATTTCTTTCAATTACTTCATCCCTACAATTTACCTGCAGTAATGCAATCGAATCACATAGAAATATTGGCTTAAGAGTACTAATCTATATATGGTGTGAAACACGCCGATAACATACCTTTAGTTTTCTTCGATATTCTCTGATTCCGACAATAGATTTAATCTCTCAGTTTGTCAAATGTTCATCATAAACGACTCCCACTTGTATTTATGCTAAACTTCAAAAGGTTAAATTCTAAATATGTTCTTTTTGACCCCATGCGAAAAACATTTGATTTGACATTTTAAAAACATTTATATTGACAAGTTTTTGTATTGTACCAACTCGGTTAAATTTGGTATTTGAGTGTGATGACTGTCATGTAATGAATAGTACATGTATTTCAAAAATCCCGAATTTCATTTAAACCAGGTTATGACTGATAAATCTGTAGCACTACAAAGTCCGATGGGACTCTAAAGTCCGCTGTTCACGCCAAAGTTCGATAGTCTGCACCAAAAACCCCGATGGTTTGACACGCCAACGTCTGATGATGCAAAAAACAATTTGCGTTTATTACATCATAGCACTACTGCACAAAACTGTAATACCGCGCCATGCCAAGGTCCTAAATAAGTATAAACAAGTATCATTACTCGAAAACTAACCCTTATTTTTCGAATAGGTGCAAAACTAACCCTGATCGCTTGAAAAGTGTGTAACAAGCATAATATGATATCTTGGGTGGATGCAATGCTAGCTCTTATCACTCAACAAGTGTGCAAGGACTAACAATCTTCGGGTGGTGCAAAGCAAGTACTAACCCTAATCAGTCGAGTGGTTTGCTAGGACGAATCCTAATATCTCAGAAAGTTACAAGCAAAATCAATAAAAATTATAAAATGTAAGCCAGGACAATTTCAGAAATTAGGACTTTGGCTTTTGAATGAAGGACAATTTAAAAATGAATAAAATATGAAGAAATTTTACTAACTTTTGGATCAACCCTCGTACAATGTATACATTTAATTAATTTATATTCGATTGTTTGAGGCCAAAGTCTACTCCAGAACAATCAAGGATTTTGTTTACAGACAAAATAAATTTTCATGAATTATCTTATTTCAAGTTGTTGTGATCCCGGATTTTATGCATCCGTTTTGTTCCAGATTTGTTACATAAAAACGTGCTAAAACAACATAGGCCTAATTGCAGATCTCCTTGACAAAGTCTACATACCTGCAAGTAAAATTAAAGCATTTTATAATAAATACCATCCCATTTTCAAATATCACTCAGTCAATTAAAAGGTTAGATCTTTGTTATAATTACTCACTACTAATTGATATTAATTAATATTTATTTATTATATAAATATATAAAGAATACAATAAGTTGACTGAATTTTGTTTTTATGATACATACAACAAACAAATTTTCTTATATCCCGAACTATAAAGTTACACTTGTATTTTTTGAAAGATTTTCTTCAATGATGATGTAATTTATTAATTTTAGTTCTATGAAATGTTCAAATGCTCTTTTGAAAATGTCCAAAGAAATTGTTGAGCAAAAAAAACCTAACTGTTTTTTTTAACTCCAAAAAAAAATACAAACCTGTAAAGTTATTTTTTTTACTTTTTGCCAATTAATATGGACTGGGCAAAGACTTTGTTGTTAATCTAAACAAATATCAGTTCTACATTTTAAAAAGTACAATAAATTAATTGTTTTTCATTGTAAGCGACATTAAGATTTTTTTTCATTTTCTCTCCATTTGTGCCATTTTATTCTAGAAAACTGCAATTTTCCCGTGACAGAATGAGCAAATAATTTCCTGTATTTCTTTTGACGTGTAAATCTCTTTTAATATAGATTCTTTGATTGTACGAGTATGAGTAAGTTGAAATTCAAGCAATATTTGATCTCTCTCTCTCCTTTTAAAAATATTAAATAACAATATTCAAAAGCATATTAATGAGCACGGTTAATGATAGCTTGGTTACAAAAAAAGTTTATTTCGTTAACAAGATAGGAATTGGTAAAAAAAAAAAATGTTTATTTTTTATCACACAAACTTCTCAGTTTTTCGAGCGTCTCGATTCATTTTTGACTCCCATTGAGGTCTTATCCTTCTGGTATATAACTCGCCTCCTGCTGCTGACATCGTGTAATCAACATAGCTTCCTAAAGAAATGCGCCTACGTCTGTATCATATCATCATCCACTGTATTTGCCATTTCCAACGAATACTGTAGCACAAAAAAACTAAACTAGAGGTACTGTGAGCACTGAGCTCACTAAAGGATACCCCCCGCCTCCCATAATGCCCATGTGTTGCTATTGTTCTACGGTAATGTGTAAAGAGGAATAACTCGTACAATCAAATGTTATCCAGAAGCTTCTATATGTGACGTTATAGGTAAACATATAATGGCAATGTCAATGTTTTGCTATGGGAAACCTAAAATACGTGTCGAATAAAAAAAGTAAAATAAAAAGTGTACAATGGCAATATGTAATTAAGATTCTGTGAAAGTTTCATTAAATTTCGCTCAGTAGTATAAGAGAAGTTACGGATAAGAGACAAAGCGTAATAGACGGACGGACGCACGGAAATCCCGATTAATATATACCCTCCCACTTTTCATGCGGGGGGTATTATTAGAGGTTCAGAGAGCATGCAATGATCTTACTAAATAATACCCCCGCCTCCCATATGGTTTTAATGGCAAAGTCCATGTTTTGCTGTGGCTGGGAAACCCAAAAAATGTGTCGGATCAAAAAGATATTTCTTTGATCAGGATTTTGATTAGGCAATCCCTTGATTGTTTTAACTTCCACGGGGGAGATATATTGTGTATTTTTGGGAAATGATTTTGAAGAGATTTTCACTAATTATTTTTTTTCTTAAGTTGAATTTCTTAACAAAATCATTCAAAGTTGAAGATATTTAAAAGACATATAATTATTAAATTATATATAATATAATACATATGTATAAGATATAGGGTGAGTTCACCATGCATCGGACACATACCTTGCTTCGGAAAACTTTAGGCAATATACTCTCTTTCAACTTAAGAGTTCTGTGTATTTATTTGTTTCTGTCTTAAAGATGAAGATTTGATTTTTTTGTGATACCGATTGTTTTTATCATGTTTTATCATGTGATAAAAAATACCCCGAGAATAGCCTTGAAGTTACGTCATATTTTACATCATCAAAGGGGAATAACCCGAAATTTTTGATTTTAACACTGTGCCGGATAATTATGCCACTTCAAAAGTGGCATTTTGGCGCCCGCCAAATCCTCATTTCACATGAAAATCATGTATACCAAGTGGTAGACCATCACTCACAGAGTTCATAACTACCTTTGTTACAGGTAAATCTCACCTGTCAGGTGAGATAATCACCTTTGAACAAAAAATTCCCTTAGGAAAAATAAAGTTCCTGTAGGAAAAATAAAATTCCTGAGGGATATTATCAAAATCCTGCAGGATTTCTTAATTTCCTGCAGGATATTTAAAAATTCCTGTGGGACTTAAATTTACCATGGGAGAATTTAATTTCCTAAGGAAATTTATTTTCCTAAAGGAGAAAAATAAATCCTATGGGAGAAAATATATCCTATAGGAAACAAAATTTCTCCTAAGGGAATTTTTTTCTCCCTTAGGAAAAAAAATTCCCTTAGGATTAAAATTCCCATAGGAATTTGAGAGTTATTCCTATAGGATTATTTTTTGTGCCATCTTCGTCTTAATTTCATAATCTTAGTTTTAAAAAAAAATCCCTTAGGAATTTGAAATATTATTCAAATAGGATTTTTTGTATCTACCCATTTTGAGTATGTTGTACTGTTTCCTCTTATTTGTGTGTGGATATCAGTGTTTAACAAGAACATTAGCCCTAAGAGCCTTGAATCCCTCTTCTGATAAATTGTAAAATCTATCACAAAGTCTTGAAATTCCAGTGGTAGGTCATCATGACCTACATTTTGGTTAAAACAGTCTGAAGACCTATGATGATGCATCAACTGACAAAGGATGATGACTCTAAGCCAATAAGTACCGGAGATGTTTAAGGAATCACTGTCTAGTTAATGTTGTATGCCAGGGCATCAACGATAGTGGGAAACATGGGATAATCTGCATAACGGGCTTCGAGTAATATTTCCATTTCATTGTGAAATATTAAAAATTGTAGATTTAGACTTTAAAAATGTAGTCTAATAGACTTGAATTACACAAGGACTCCCATATCAATTTCAATAGTCCTCGCCCACTGACGTCAAAACTAAGGCAGCCGCACTAGATTTACATGCATATTTGGCCTCCTTAGCGTGAGACACAGAGACAGATGGGCACGAGATTTGCATTTAGGCCTCCTTAGCTCCTGACCAATCGATCTGGCTGCCTAATTTACATTCCGGCAGAATTATCCAAAAATAAACTCCCCTAACTTTCAAAGAGTTATCACAGAGAAAAAAAAATTAGAAACGGAAATATTTAAATATAGCCATAAAATTCAAAATGTAAGTCTTTGTGACCTACTTTTTAGTTGACGTTATCTGAAGACCCAGTTTGCTAGGTATTCCTAATATGTAAAATTTTGATTCCCTACTGTGGCCCCATCCTTCCCCAAAGGGTCATGAATGCATTGATTTGAAGAAGAAAAAATCACCTACATGAGGATGTTTCCATATCAAAAGGATTAAATCATGGCTTCTCTCTAAAATAAGATTTTAAACTTTTATATATATATTATAATATATATATTGCTGTGTAAAACTTTGATTCTCTATTGTGACAAACTTGAATCTATACTGCATGATGATACTTCCATATCAAAATGACTGATCAAATCTTTGTTGTTCTTGATAAAATGATTTTAAAAAAAATACAGGGTATTCCTATGTACAATTTTGATCTCCTGTTGTGGTCCACCCTAATCCCCGGAGTCATGATATGAACAAACTTGAATCTACACTATATAATAAATGTTTCTGATAAGTTTAAACTTTTATGGGCCAATGAATGGTTCTTGGGAAGATTTTTGAAAGATGGCTACAAATATACATATTTCTTTATTAACTCCCCTTTAAATATGTGCCATTATCTGAACAAATCTTATTTAAAATTCTTACACTGACAAGATAGCCCTAATTTTTCAATCAAAATGTTATCAGATAGACTGTTATGTGACA